TGCCGGGAACTTTGAGATGCTCGGGCAAGAGCGCAAAGGGAGACTGAAGCCAAGGCCGCCCACTGGCTCGGTCGGTAGAGTGCTCAGCCCTTGATCAGGGAGCTGTGAGTTCAAGCCGCACATCGGGCTAGGCATTACCTAAAAAATAAAATCCCGGGGCACCTGGGTGGCACAGCCGGTTGAGCAGCTGCCTCCTGGTTTCGGTGAAGGTCATGATCTCAGCGTCATGAGATCAAGGCCCACATCAGGCTCCATGCTCAGCGGGGAATCTGCTTGAGATTCTCCCCCCCTCTACCCCTCCTGCTTGTGCAGGCTGTCTCTCTCTCTCTCTCAAATAAATAAATAGATCTTTAAGAAAAATAAAATCTTAAAATAAAAAAATTTTTAAAAAGGGAGACTGCAGCCAGGCAGGAAGTGAAGATGTGGACGGGGTGGTGGGTGCAGAGCCATTATGGGTCTGGGGGAGGTTAGGGATCTTTGATTAATACCCACAAGGGAGAAGGTGAGCAGGATGGGGCATGGTGGAGGATGGAATGCTCGCAGGGCTTTAGTTACAGTGGCATTCGGAACTGGTGGGAACTGGTACTGAGGTGGGGTGGAAGATGAGGTTTTAGAGGAGAAGGGTCAAGTGTCAGACGCCAGGGTGCTAGAGAGACCCCAGGCTTCTTCAAGGACAGTGCCGATCTGTAGAGGGAAGGAGCTTAGTCCTAGGGGAAGTGCTGGGCCTCCTAAAGACCACGCACAGCTTTCTCAGACTTGTCTGGCCTGCAGGGGATGGCCAGCATCCTATGGCTGGTGAGCACTCCTTCCAATTTTCCAGAACTTTCTGTTTTCAGCACCTAAAGCCTTGCACTGGGGCAGACCCGGACCACTAGGGGCCCTGATCTTAAGGGAGTCTCCCTATCCCTGGCTGGGGGGCTGGGGTGGTCCTGTCTGCCTCTTCCGGGGCAAAGGTGTATGGCCAGGTTGAGAAGATGGGGTGTCTGGGTGGAGGTGGGGTGAGCTCCCGCCTTCCCCTGACCCAGAATCCCCCGCCAGGTGTGATGGTCGGCTCCCACACAGACATGGCACCCGCCTCTACCACCGAGGGGCCCGGGGAGAAGCCCGGCACCACGGCCCCCACCCCGGCGGCCCAGTATGAGTGTGGGGAGTGTGGCAAGTCGTTCCGGTGGTCATCTCGGCTCCTCCACCACCAGCGCACGCACACGGGCGAGCGGCCCTACAAGTGCCCCGACTGCCCCAAGGCCTTCAAGGGCTCGTCCGCCCTGCTCTACCACCAGCGGGGCCACACGGGCGAGCGGCCCTACCAGTGCCCGGACTGCCCCAAGGCCTTCAAGCGCTCCTCGCTGCTGCAGATACACCGCAGTGTGCACACGGGCCTGCGGGCCTTCACGTGCGGCCAGTGCGGCCTGGCCTTCAAGTGGTCTTCGCACTATCAGTACCACCTGCGGCAGCACACGGGCGAGCGGCCCTACCCGTGTCCCGACTGCCCCAAGGCCTTCAAGAACTCGTCCAGCCTGCGGCGCCACCGGCACGTGCACACGGGCGAGCGGCCCTACACCTGCGGCGTGTGCGGCAAGAGCTTCACCCAGAGCACCAACCTGCGGCAGCACCAGCGCGTGCACACGGGCGAGCGGCCCTTCCGCTGCCCGCTCTGCCCCAAGACCTTCACGCACTCGTCCAACCTGCTGCTGCACCAGCGCACGCACGGCTCCGCCGCCGCCCCACCGCAGCACGAGCCCGGCGCCAAGGTCTTGGTGTCGGATGCCTACTTGCACGCGCCCCCACCGCCGCCGCCGCCTGCGCCTCCCCCCGTGGTGCCGGAGCTCTTTCTGGCCGCGGCGGAGACCACGGTGGAGCTGGTGTACCGCTGCGAGGGCTGCGAGCTGGGCTTCGGCAGCGAGGAGCTGCTCCTGGAGCACCAGCCCTGCCCTGGGCCCGAGGCCGCCACCCCACCCCGGGACGGGCACGCCACCACGGTGCCCAAGGCAGACCCCGCCCCGCCGCCCTCCCAGTCCCCGCCGGCCCCCGCACCACAGCCCCCGCCTGCCTCCGCAGCCCCGGGCTTCGCCTGCCTCCCGTGCGGGAAGTCCTTCCGGACGGTGGCCGGCCTCTCCCGCCACCAGCACAGCCACGGCGCGGCCGGCGGCCAGGCGTTCCGCTGTGGCAGCTGCGACGGCGCCTTCCCGCAGCTGGCCAGCCTCCTGGCGCACCAGCAGTGCCACGTGGAAGAGGCGGCTGCCGGGCGCCCGCCCCCCCAGGCGGAGGCCGCCGAGGTCACCTGTCCCCAGGAGCCCCTGGCCCCAGCCGCCGCCGCCCCGCCCGCCGCCGCTGCCGCCGCGCCGGCGCCCGCCCCCGCGGGCACTGAGCGGCCCTACAAATGCGCGGAGTGTGGCAAGGCCTTCAAGGGCTCCTCGGGATTGCGCTACCACCTGCGGGACCACACGGGCGAGCGGCCCTACCAGTGCGGCGAGTGCGGCAAGGCCTTCAAGCGCTCCTCGCTGCTGGCCATCCACCAGCGCGTGCACACGGGCCTGCGAGCCTTCACGTGCGGCCAGTGCGGCCTCACGTTCAAGTGGTCCTCGCACTACCAGTACCACCTGCGGCTGCACTCGGGCGAGCGGCCCTACGCCTGCGGGGAGTGCGGCAAGGCCTTCCGGAACACGTCGTGCCTGCGGCGCCACCGGCACGTGCACACGGGCGAGCGGCCCCACGCCTGCGGCGTGTGCGGCAAGAGCTTCGCGCAGACCTCCAACCTGCGGCAGCACCAGCGCGTGCACACGGGCGAGCGGCCCTTCCGCTGCCCGCTCTGCCCCAAGACCTTCACGCACTCGTCCAACCTGCTGCTGCACCAGCGCACGCACTCCGCCGAGCGCCCCTTTGCCTGCCCTGTGTGCGGCCGCAGCTTCGTCATGGCGGCCTACCTGCAGCGGCACCTGAGGACGCACGCCCCCGCGCCCACGGCCGCCGCGGGCCCCGCAGCCCCCGCCGCCGGCTCCCAGCCCCCCGCCCCGCTGGCTGCCGCCCCAGCCGCGTCTGCCACCCAAGACGTCCACGTTCTCCCGCACCTCCAGGCCACGCTCTCCCTCGAAGTGGCAGGGGGCCCGGCTCCGGCCCCGCCCCCAGGCCAGGCAGCCCCCAACTCCCAGACTTTTCTCCTGGTGCAGACTGCCCAGGGCCTGCAACTCATCCCCAGCAGCGTCCAGCCCCCCACGCCACCGCCCCCACCGGCTCCCCCCAAGCTCATCCTGCTGCCCTCCTCCAGTCCTGGTGCCGGGAGCAGCCGCGGTAGGCAGGGCCCACTAGCAGCAGGAAAATCTGGCCAGGCGCCTGGAGTAGTATGGCTGCCAGGTCCTGGGGGACTGGGGGTTCAGAGCGGGGGCAACGCAGGGGCCAGCGGGGGAGGGCAGAGCCTCATCGTTCTACAGAATGTAGGGGGTGGGGAGGCAGGGGCACAGGAAGTGAGTGGGGTCCAGCTCCAGCCCCTCCGGCCAGCCCCCGAAGTGACCGCGGTCCAGCTCCAGCCAGCCCAGGAGGTGACCACGGTCCAGCTCCAGCCGGCTCAGGAGGTGACCACGGTCCAGCTCCAGCCTGTGGCAGGCCAGCTCTCCAATCCCAGTGGGGGGGCAGTGACCACTGAGGCCCCCAACCTGCTGGTGGTTCAGAGTGGTACGGCTGAGGAGCTGCTGGCGGGCCCTGGCCCCGGGGAGCCCGGTGATGGTGACGCCAGTACTGGCGTCGTCCAGGATGTCCTCTTCGAGACACTGCAGACAGACGAGGGGTTGCAGAGCGTCCTGGTGCTGAGCGGGGCAGATGGCGAGCAGACCCAGCTATGTGTGCAGGAGGTAGAGACCCTCCCCACTGGGCTGGCAGAGCCTCCTGCCCCAGGCCCACCGGGACAGAAACTGCTCATCATCCGCAGCGCACCGGCCACGGAGCTGCTGGAGAACAGCCCCGGTGGGGGAGGAGCTCCCACACTGCAGCTGCTGACCCCTCCACCACCCGGCCAAGCCTCTGCTCCAGTGGGCATCTCCACGGCACCCACCTCCCAGATGGTCCAAGTGGTACCCACTGGCGCTGCCCCCGGAGGCATGCCCCCACAGGGCCTGCCCTCTATCCAGATTGTCCAGACTCTGCCCGCAGTCCAGCTGGTGCACACATTTTGAAAAGAACCACTGGGTTCTTGAGGGCCCCACACAGAGACCCGGACTCCCTGCTTGGGCTGGACTGGGCTGGGCTGCACAGGGGGGCAGGGGAGCTGCGGGCTGGGCTTGCTAATAAAGACCAGAATCTCCTCTCCGCGGTTTTGTTCTCTTGGGGGCGGCTGCGGTGGGGGCAATGTCACGGCGGTAGCCACCGCTTGGGAGCTCGGAGTCTTACTCTCTATTGCTTCCTGGCTCTCAGGGGACTGACTTTGCGATTGGGAGCCAGACACTTCTAAGTGAGGTTCTGTTTGTTCTCCAAAAAGAGGAGGCGCGGTGGTCACTAGAGTGGGGAAGAGCGGGGATCTAGAATCCGGGTTGTGCCACTTGTTCGCTGTCAGTCACCCCACCGGTCCCCTCATCTGGAAAATGGGTGGGTGGGAATCCCTGTCCCAAAGGTCCCTGAGAGAAAGCCCAGGTGGCTTGGGTGGAGGTTCCCGGGGTCGGATCTGAGTTTGGGAGCCGGGAGCGCGGGACGCGGCCCCTCCCGCGAAGGCCGCAGAGCCAGGAGAACTGGTGCGCTCCGGTCGCCGGCCCCCACCCGCCTCGCAGCTTGCTTAGCAACCGCCATCGTGCGCGTCTCCTCTGCCGGCCGCGTAAGTACCGTCCTGCCCGGCCCCGCGACTGCTCCTCCCTCTGCCCCAACTCCGCCGGGGTCGCCGCTCCCCGCTCCGGTCCCTCCCCGGCCACCCGGCCACCCGCCCGCCCCGGCCAGGATGCTTGGCAACCGTCGCTAAGGCAGGGTGCGGGCCCCGCCCCCTTCGAGCGCGAGCGTGACGTCACTTCCGCAAGCGACCCCTTCCCGACCCTGCTGCCCCCACACCTAGTGGAAGGATTGAGGCGACCTGCGGAGGTTCTTGCGGTGCCTGCTCCCGCGACGCGGGTCGGGGACGCCTGTGGGGCAGGGAGCGTGGTCCAGGCCCTGGCTGTTTGGGGGCGGGGGGAGTTCCGCTGACTCCCCAGGGCAGCCCCGGAGCCTGGGAGGGAGCCCGGGCTGCGGGGTGTTGGCGTCTGCAGGGCTTTTGGGGGGAATTCGCTGAGCACCGCGGCGGGCAGAGCGGGGGGCGGGGCTTGGACCGGGGGACTTGAGAAAGGTCGCGGGGTGGAGGGTGAATCCCGTCCTGCCTGGAACCTCGCTCGGGGGCCCCGAGCGTCCCCAGTGTCCCCATCTGGACCCTGCTGCTGCTGGTCCCCATGCCTGGGGCGCTGTGGGGACGAGGGGTCCCTTCACTGACGCCGGCCTGCTTGTTTCACCAGGTGCACGCCTGCTCCCTCGGGGGCGCGGGAGCCTGGGGGCTGCCATGGCCCCCGGCCACTTGTCAGTGCGGGAGATGAGGGAAGATGAGAGACCCCTGGTGCTGGAGATGCTGAAGGTGAGAGCAGGCGGGGACGCCTCGTGAGTGGCTCCGACACCTGCCTGAGCAGCCGCGACTTCCGGAGCGGGATGCTTCCTCCCGAGAGGCTTCCTGGCTCGGTCCCTGACTTTCCTAGTGCCTTCTTCCTACCCTTGGGGGCAAAAAGGTTTTAGGGGCGCCTGGCTGGTTCAGTGGGGACCGCGGGGTCGTGAGTTCAAGCCCCACTTTGGGTGTAGAGATTACTTAAAAGTTTTCATAGCTGGAGGGCTGTGAGATGCGTGTGGCATCAGCTCTGTACCCCCTTTGCAGACTTCAGCCCACCCTGTGCCCACCCCCCGCCCGCCCACCCCCCCCCCCCCCCCCCCCCCCCCCCCCCAAGCCGCCCCCTTGGGCCTCGGCCTGGCGCTGGGTACCCCCCCCCCCACCCGCCGCCCCCCAGCGCCACCTCCTGCTGCCCAGAGAATGCTCCTCCTCGGAACTGGGCCAGTCCCCTGTCCTGTTCTGGGCTCAGCCTCACACCTGCAGCTCCCCTGCATCTTGTGTCCCCCACAGCTCCCACCTCACTCACTCGCCCAGGACCCAGTGTGCCGGACACTCTGCTTCCCGGAGCCCAGAGCAGACGCGGGCTGTTTCCTGCCTGTTCCAGGCCCCATCACAGCACCTTCGCTTCTCCTCCACCCCTTTGCCCCCGCCTGGGCACAGCCCACCCCCTCTCCTCTCCCTGGAGGTCCCATAGCACGGGGGCCCTGGTGGGAGGGAAGGCCCAGGACCCCGGCTCTGACGGCGCCTTCCGCCCGCAGGCAGGTGTGAAGGACACGGAGAACCGAGTGGCCCTCCACACCCTGACGCGGCCACCAGCCCTGCTCCTCCTGGCAGCGGCCAGCAGCGGCCTGCGCTTCGTCCTGGCCTCCTTCGCCCTGGCCCTTCTCCTGCCCGTGTTCCTGGCTGTGGCAGCCATGAAGCTGGGCCTGCGGGCCCGATGGGGCTCGCTGCCTCCGCCAGGCGGCCTGGGGGGCCCCTGGGTGGCCGTGCGTAGCTCGGGCGATGTGTGTGGGGTCCTGGCCCTGGCCCCAGGCTCCAGCGCTGGGGACGGGGCCCGGGTCACCCGCCTCTCTGTCTCTCGCTGGCACCGCCGCCGAGGTGTGGGCCGGAGGTTGCTGGCCTTTGCCGAATCTCGGGCACGGGCCTGGGCAGGCGGCATGGGGGAGCCCCGGGCCCGGCTCGTGGTCCCCGTGGCGGTGGCAGCGTGGGGGGTGGCGGGGATGCTGGAGGGGTGTGGCTACCAGGCTGAAGGGAGCTGGGGCTGCATGGGGTACACGCTGGTGAGGGAGTTCAGCAAGGACCTGTGACTCTGGACCGCGTGCGAGGGAGAGCACTGTGAGTGCTGACTGTGTGCAGGTTCTCCCTCGGTGGATGCCCAGCCTGCCCGGGGCCCAGATGCAGGTCTGCAGAGGACGAGACACCCCACCGCAGGCCAATGTCTGCCTGTAGCGTCTGAACTTTTCATAGAGGTCAACTGTCCAGCTCCCAGCCCAGATTTTGTCTGCACTGAGACGTCTCCTCAGTCTGGTGCCAGGGTTGCACCATTTGCGTTCCAGGCCCGAGCCCGGGAGAGAGAGATGGGGAGGAGGAGAGCGGGCCCGCCCTATGGGGTAGGACTTGTGGCAGGGGCACCCCAAGTAGGGACGAGGCCCTCCTGGGAGTGGGGAGGGGTTTACTGACTTCTCGGAGCGGACCAGCAGAGCCTTTGCAGAGGAGGGTAGCCAACCCAGAAGGAGGCCCTGGCCAGGACAGGGTGGGTGCCGGGCTGCCCACGCCGGGCCCCTTCCTGGAAGGTGAGCCGAGAGGGGCCCCCAGACCCATCTGGTTTTTTGCACCGATTGTTAATAAAGCTTGAAACTGCTGTGCGCAGAGCTTTCTCTCTGATGCCTTTTCCAGTCTGCGTCGGAGCGCGCCCCCCCACCCCCGGCCCCGTTCTGTCCGGCTTCTCTGTTTCCCGACTTGACATTAATTGTTGCTGGGGTGCTGGGCCGGGAGAAGGGGAGGCAGTGAGCTCACGGCAGCCCTGCTCCCTGCCAGCCCTCTGACTCACGCTCCCCATTACCGAATTTTTTCCGACTCACAGCTGCCTGGTGCAGAGTGGGGGGTGGGGGGAGTGAGTGAGTGTGAGTTTGTGTGTGTGAGTGTGCGTGTGGAGTCCCCCTCCCTCACCTTACACTCAGCGCTTAGTCCGCCTGCCCCCCATCTCCGGCTTCCCTGGGGTTCACCCAGTGCCCCCTTGGATGGGGGCCGAAGGGTTTGCATCCAGCCCCACGAGGGCCAGCCAGGAGGGCTTCCTCAGTCCCCTTTCCCAATCCAGGAAGTCCTTCCTGGTGTCGAGCTGTAAGCCCTCTTGCTGCCAGCCTGGATCCATGGTCCACCCGCTCCACCCTGGTCCCACCTCGTCCCCTGGCTGCACAGAGGAGGCAGACGGTGGCGGCCTGTGCGTGCCTCTGCCGGGTCCCTTTCCCGCGGGCCACCCTCCCCACAGCATCTCTAAGCACAGCAGGGTGCTGGGCCTGGCGGCTCCAGCTCCCTGTGGGGCTTTGCAGCTGGACACCCTCCTCCCCGTTGCCACCCCCCTCCTCCTCAGGCCTCCGCTGCGGCCAGCCCCCTCCCTGCCCCCGCTCCTGTCCCCTGCTGCCTCCTCGGCAGGCAGCCTCTCTTCCTTCTGGCAGAGCGTCCAGCCACTGCCTGCTCCTCCCCGGTCCAGGGCGCCTCTGGCAGGCGCTTCCCTCCCTCTCTCCCTCTCTCCCTCTCTCCTTCTTCCCTCCCTCCGGTGGCCGCAGCCTCCTCCCCTCTCTGCTCGCGTCCCCTTTCACCCCGTCCCTGCCCTGGAGTCTGCAAACATGAGGGTCTTGGCCTGCCTTTTCGGTGAGTGACCCCTTCTCCATGGGGACTCAGGGACCTCTGACCCCTGAGCTCATACACTTAAAACGACTCAGACTTCTGGGGCCCTGTCTCAAGTGCTTGGGATGAAGGACATTTGGTCGTCCTTGCCTGATCCCCCCAAGGGACCCAGCCTCTGCACACGCATCCCACCCTCTGAGGACCCCAGGGACTACTCCCCACCGCAACTGGCCCTGACCTTGGTGGGGGGGGGGTCACTCTCATTTGACATTAACCAAGCCCCTGGGGGAGCACAAAGGGCCTGGCTCCCAGCCTTGACCCAAGGCATGTGGGGCCCCGCCCGTCTCAGGGACCTGAGTCTTGCCCAGCCCTCTCTCCAGAGTCCTGCCTCCCGACGGTGGGTTTCTGGTTCAGAGGAGTGTGTGTGTGTGTGTGTGTGTGTGTGTGTGTGTGTGCTGGGGTATTTAAGACCCGGAGAAAGCACCCCAAAGGGCCTGTCCTCACTCTACCCCACCCCTCCAACCTCCCTTCCAGCGGCTCTGATGGGGATCCAGGCTGTTGGTAAGTGGCCCTGAGCACCTCTGTCTGGCCTTGCCCAGCTCCAACCCACCCCTGTCCAGTCTCCCCCTCCAGGGGAACCCCAGCAGCCCTGTGGGCAACTATGACCTTGGACATTGCTTCCTCCAGAACCGCTGGTGACCAACCCCCCACTTCCCATGGGGGCCACCTCTCTCCTGAGAACCCAGGAGTTGGGACCCCCACCAGTGGCCAGGGCGGCTGGCCTCACCCACACCCCGCAGGCAAGCCCCTGGTCCTGCCATTCCCGGGGACCGGGCCTCCCAGGTGTCCCAGCCTTTCCTCTGTCCCCCCAGAGCGGCTGCGTCTGGCTGACGGCCCCCACGGGTGTGCGGGCCGCCTGGAGGTGTGGCACAGCGGCCGCTGGGGGACCGTGTGCGACGATGGATGGGACCTGCGGGACGCCGCCGTGGCCTGCCGGGAGCTGGGCTGCGGGGGCGCACTGGCTGCCCCTGGAGGTGCCTTTTTCGGGGAGGGCGCAGGACCTGTGTGGCTGAGTGAGCTGGCCTGCCGGGGCAGCGAGGGGCAGCTGGGGCTCTGTCCCCACCGCGGCTGGAAGGCCCACATTTGCTCCCACGAGGAGGACGTGGGCGTCGTCTGTGCAGGTGAGAGGCCTTGGAGCCTCCGTCAGGGGCACTCCTACAGACATGATCCCAGGGACTCAGAGGGTCTGGACTTCCAGGCACCCCCACCCCTGGAAAACCTGGGTGTCTCCCTGCGGGACTCCCAGCTGACCACGGCCCGAGGTGTCCCCAGGCCTGCCTTGGTCAGGGCCGCCCCAGCCAAGCTCCTGTGCGCTCCCTCTCGCAGGTCAGCGTGTGGCCAACTCCAGAGACGGGGAGGATCCGACTTCCATCCTGGAGGGGGACCTCTGGCCAGGACTGTCTGGGGAGCTGAGCCCTGGCTCTCAGGAGCCTCCCGTGACCCATGGTGAGCCCCCTCTGGCCGCGCGTCCAGCTGGGAGGGAGAGGGAGGGGCCTTCCGCACTGATATGTCCCGGGGACAGACGGCCTCAGCGGCTTCACCCCCCCGAGCCCCCCCCCCCCCGCCCCCGTCGCAGTCCCCGCTGCATCCTCAGGGACTCCCAGGTAGCACAGTGCGGCCTGGCGGCCTGGCGGGAGGATCTGCAGCGACCAACCACTGTCTCTCGCAGCCCCCCGCCCAGCCGGGACCCCACAGAACAACTCCAGGAAGAAGAGCCCGCGGCCAGTCAAGCAGCCCAAATCCACCAGGGCCCCCATGCTGACGGCTGGAGCCCCCCGACAGGGTATGTTCTCTGCAGACCTCTCTGTCACAGTTCTGGCCTGGCCTGGACTGACCTGGGGACCCCTGGGTGGCCTCCTCCTAGCCGGTACCCGGGAGGGCTCCAGCATGCACCATATCCCTCCGGGACTCGGGCCAGGCTCCCATGCCCCGCCCCGCTCCGATCAGGGGCCCCAGGCAGCTCCTGCCCCAGATACCATCCTCCTGCTGGGACCCCAGCACTCTTAAAGGCCCAGCTGGCAGGTGGATCTCGGGCCACTTCTCCCTCTGGGGCTCAGTTTTCCCAGTTGGAAAATGAAGGGTGTTTGAATCTGCTTTTCCCAAACTGCCTGGCACGAGACTCACCACCCCCTCCCTCCCTGCCCATCCCCACACAGAGCGGCTGCGCCTCGTCTCAGGCCCCCACGGGTGCTCCGGGCGCCTGGAGGTGTGGCATGGCGGCCGCTGGGGGACCGTGTGCGACGACGGATGGGACCTGCGGGACGCTGCCGTCGCCTGCCGGGAGCTGGGCTGCGGGGGTGCACTGGCCGCCCCCGGAGGCGCCAGATTTGGCCCGGGCTCGGGGCCTGTGTGGATGGATGACGTGGGGTGTGGAGGCGGGGAGCAGGCTCTGCGGGACTGTCCCCGGAGCCCCTGGGGTCGGAGCAACTGTGACCACAGCGAGGACGCAGGGCTGGTCTGCACTGGTATGCCCCCCGCCCGCCCGCACTGCCCACCCCCTGCACCCCACCCACTGCACTTGCTCTCTCTAGGGCTCTTCTCTATCCTCCCTCCATCCTCATTCTCCCTCTCCCCTCCCTCCCCCTGCATCCTCCCCCCATTCCTTCCCTCCCTTCCTCCTCCCTCCCCCCTCAGTTCTCCCCCCTCTTCCTTCCCTTCCTTCCTCCTCCCTCCCTCCTTCCTTTCCTCCCTCCTCTTTACCCCCAGCCTCTCCCATCCCTCCCTCCTACCTCTCTACTTCCCTCTCTCCCACTCTCCCTTCTTCCTCAGTTCTCCCCCTTCTCCCTTCCCTCCCTCCTGCTTCCCTCCTTTCCTCCCCCTCTCCCTTCCCTCTCTCCTCCCAGTTCTCCCCGTCTTCCTTCCTTCTCTCCCTCCCCCTTCCCTCCCCCTCCCCCAATACCACTTGAACCCCATCCACTCCAGTCAGGGACAGCATGAGACCCAGTCCTCACTCTTATGGACTCACAGCATGTCTGCTGCAGGACCCAGCAGGCACAGGGCGATGGCCACCCAGAGTGGTGGGGTGGGAAAGCACAGGGGCTGCAGGTGGACAGTGGGTGCCCACCAGAGCAAGGGGGCAGGGGGTAGGCAGTGCTTCTGTGGGCTGATGTGAACGGGAAGAGGAAGATGACATTCTCCTGAGTCTCTGCTCTGTGCCAAGCAGTGTGCTGGGTACCTCCCAGCTGTGTCTGAGCCTCACCACCACGTGGACACCGTCTGGGGTGGGTGCTCTCATCCCTGTCTTCCCAGATGTGGAAATGAGGTTTGGAGAAGGAACCCAAATGACCCAGGTTATGGACTCAGCCCCAGACTCAGAACTTGACCAGCCAGGTCTATCCCGCTGCAGACAGAGCTGCTATGCTGGCGGGCGTCTGAAGCCTGGAGTGGTGGGAACGGAGGCCACCCATGGGGGTTGGGGCCCTGAGCAGTGGGCTGGGACTGTGCTGTGCGGGATGGGCAGCCCAGAGAGGCAGAAGCAGGTTCTCCAGAGCCCAGATTGGGAGGTAAGTGGAGACCCCAGGGAGGGCTAAGTGGTTGGGGAAAAGAAGGGAATGCTACTGAGGTGCCTGGGGAAGCTTGGAGCCTTACTGACACCTTAATCCCCAGAGAAGTCCTGTAAGGCAGCTCTTCATGTCTGATCCCTCCCTGGTCAGTTCTTTTCTCCAGAGCACTGACGGGGGTGATGTACCCCCCCAAACTAGGGGGTAGAAAGATGGACTCTGTGCTCCCCAGTGGTGACCCCAGTCTCACCCAGACAGACCCAACAGAAATGTACCCTAAAGCCAGCAAGAGGTTAGTCCGCAGACTAGGGGTTCTTTGTAGAGGGTGGGGTGTGATCTCCCCCCACCCCCGGCCCCTCCCAGGGGACACTGGGCAAAGTCTGTCACACTGTGGATGGCCCTCACATGTGGGGATGGAGCCCAGGGACACTGTGGACATCCTACAGTCACAGCTTGGCCCCCCACAATCCCCCGATGTTGGTGATGCTGAGGTCGAGAAGCCTGCCGTACAGGACTGGGGTAGGCAGCCAGCACGTGGGGTGAGGGCCAGTGTCCCCAGGGCTTGCTTCTGCACAAATGGGGCACTGGGAGGTGGACAGACCATTGCTGGACTCCCATTGAGTGACTTCCCATCCTGAAGCCTTTTCCCCATTGGCAAACGGAAGGTGGGGCGTCTGCTGTCCCCCTGAACACAGCAGCATGGGCAGGAAGCCCAGCCCTGGAGAGCTCAGCATCTGCGCGCACGTGGCTGCCTGTCCTCCGAGCTCACACCGCTCACCCACTGCAGTCTCCTGTCTGTCTGTTCCTCTCCCTTTCCCACATCCAGGCCCAGCCCCCCGGCTGCGTCTAGCTGATGGACCCCACGGGTGTGCAGGCCGCCTGGAGGTGTGGCACAGCGGCCGCTGGGGGACGGTGTGCGACGATGCCTGGGACTTGCGGGACGCCACTGTGGCCTGCCGGGAGCTGGGCTGCGGGGGCGCGCTGGCCGCCCCCGGGGGTGCCTTCTTTGGGGAAGGGGCTGGACCCATCTTCCTGGATGACCTTCGGTGCCGGGGTAACGAGACAGCCCTGCGATTCTGCCCCGCACGGCCCTGGGGCCAGCATGACTGTCACCATCGGGAGGACGCCGGGGCTGTGTGTGATGGTGAGGAGGACACAGGGAGAGGCTGGGGGTGTGGGAGCCTCAAGCGGAGGCACAGGAAGTGGGGGGCTCGTGGGGCATTGGCATGCTCACCCCATGCGCCCCTCTCTCCTGTCCTGATCCATGGGCCCTCACTCTAAATCCGTGGTCCTGGGATCACCCACGGTGGTGATTGGCTATTCCCTGCCCCAGGTATGCCTCTGGGGTATGTCCCCCCCACGGCCCCAGCAGCAGACAGCAACCGCTCTTCGTCCCAGGAGGCAGTGTCCAGGCCCCCGGCCCCCACAGGGAGCCTGTCCCTAGGCACAGCAGACATCCCACCTCCTCCTGCCTCCCCCACTGTGCCTCGGGAGACTGGCCCGGAAGCTGGTGAGTCCGTTCTGCTCCCTAAGAAAACAGGGTCTTACTGACTGCTTCCTCCCCCAGAGTCAGTGCTCCCCCCGAACCCCTGCCCTTTCTCCCTGCTCATAAGTTCTCATCGGGGGAAAGACAAGGATGGCGAAGGGAACAGAGCCCCGTGCCCTCAAGGGTCTGTGCTTGGTTGAATGCCCTGCCGTGTTACTCAGGTGTGGTGAGGCCAGCAGATCAGGACGGGACTGCCCTTGGAAAGATATTGGGTTTGTAGAAACAGGGGCCATGCAGGGAAGGAGCAGCATGAGCCAGGAGGCAGGGGTAGTGAGGGGAACACACAGCCAGAGCCTTGACCATGGCTGCTGCTGCTGCTGCTGCTTCTTTTATATTTGACAGAGAGAGGGTACACAAGCAGGGGGAGTGGGAGAGGGAGAAGCAGGCTCCCAACTGAGCAGAGAGCCTGATGTGGGGCTCGATCCCTGGGATCATGACCTAAGCGGAAGGCAGATGCTTAACCCACTGAGCCACCCAGGCGCCCCTTGACCATGGCTTCTATGGGAAGGAGTGGGCAAGGCCGAGTAAGCAGGCTCAGGGTTGGCTTGCTTGGATGGTTTCCAAGAGCTGTGGGGCACCGGGGCTGCCCCTGGTTATGGGGCACCAGGCCACGTCGACAGTGGCCCAGAGCGTGAGAGCCCCCTGCCCCGGAGCAGGTGGGGGTGGTGGGCTCTGGACTGGCTGGTGTGCAGACAGGAGGCGCGCTCCGCTGGCTTCCTCTCGATTTAGCTAGCCCTCCGGGGTGGTCCCTCCAGGGTCAGCAAGGCCCCGAGAGGCCAAAGCATCAGAACAGACTATAGAGCACCCGGGTGGCTTAGTTGGTTGGGCGACTGCCTTTGGCTTGGGTTGTGATCCTGGGGTCCCAGAATTGAGTCCCGCATCAGGCTCCCTGCTCAGCAGGGGGTCTGCTTCTCTCTCTGACCCTCTCCCTTTCATGCTCCCCCCACTGTAAATAAATCAAATGAAAGAAAGAGAGAGAGAGAGAGAAAGACAGACAGACAGACACACAGACAATAAAAAGGCCTGGTTAGCACAGCTGACTCCTCCAGGATGGGAAACGTATTCTTCCCGGAGGCCGCTTTCCCGCTTTTCCTGAGTCACTCAGTGCTCACGGGCTTGTGTGTGACCGGCGCTCTTGCAGGCGTGCTTCTTGTCTCCGTCAGGGGACACTCCTGGCCACGCGGGCCCGGGGTGCTGCATGTTGTCCGTGTTATGGAGGAGGCCACATGGCTAAGACACGGGTGAAGGCAGCGTGTCCCAGAGCCCACGTCCTCTGTTGGGTTCGTTGCGGTCAACTATACGCAACATAACATTGACCACTTCATCTGTTTTTAAGCGTGAGTTCAGTGGCACGAAACCCATTCATGAGGTCGGGCAGCCACCACCATGCAGCTGTGGGACTTTGTCACCATCCCAGACACCCCAGACGGATTACACACGGGATCCCCTTCCCCTGGCCCAGCCCAGGTGCCCACCCTTCTACCGTCTCTATGAACCAGACTCCTCCAGGGTCATGGTGCAGATGGGACCTGCAGTACTCGTGCCGATGTCCTCTGGCTTCACCCACGGGGCAGGTCGCGGAATCCCCTCCTAAGAAAGGCTGAATCCTATTCCATTTCGTGTGCAGGCCTCACTCCACTATCCCTCCATGCAGGGATGCACAGTCAGGCCGTGTCCATCCTTGGGCTGCTGTGAACAGCGCCAGGACCCTGTGCGCAAGCACCTGTCTGAGTAGCCATCCTCCGTTTACCGGCAGTAAAGCCCAAGCAGTGGGATTTCTGGATCATACAGGGATTCCGTGTTCCACTTTTCAAGGAACCCAGACCGTGCCAGACTCTATCCCTGTCCCTGCCGCCAGGATGGACGGATTTGGCGAAGCCAAGATGGACAGAAGTCTGGATGAATGCAAGGCAGGCAGAGGGATGGACAGCCAGACGGTTTCCTAAGTCTTTGGGTCTCTTCCACCCTAGGGTCCCCCCAGCTGCGCCTAGTGGCAGGACCCAGCAGGTGTTCGGGCCGGCTGGAGGTGTGGCACAACGGACGCTGGGGGACGGTGTGTGATGACAGCTGGGACCTGCGGGACTCAGCCGTGGTCTGCCGGGAGCTGGGCTGTGGCAGAGCACGGCAGCAGGACCCTGCGGCTGGCCGCTTCGGCTGGGGGGCTGGCCCCATCTGGCTGGATGACGTGGGGTGCTTGGGGACCGAGGCCTCACTCTCAGAATGCCCCGCTTCACCCTGGGGGAAGCACAACTGTGCTCACAATGAAGATGTTGGAGTCTCCTGCACTGGTAAGGAGGTCCTGACCACCTGCTGGCTCCTGGAGGGCTTCCTGGAAGAAGGAATGGGAAGTAACATCTGCACTAACATCTTCCGCGTGCACGTCTTCCTAAGCCCCCTGCCCGGGCTGGGTGTTCCCACACATGTGACCGCACTCACGCCTCACAATAAGTACAAGCTGGTGGGTGTTATGCTCATTTTACTGAGGAAGCTGAGGCACAGAGAGGTTCAGTAACTTGTCCAAGGTCACACAGCAACTAAGTGGCACAGTTGGGATTCTTTCTCCTCCTCCCGTTTATGCTCCCCAAGATCAAAGAAGTGAGGACAGGGGTGTCGGGAGCTGGAGAGAGGCCAAGGTGAGGGCCAGCTGCAGTACACACAAGCCTTGTGTCTGTCATCTGCTACGTTTACGAGTGCCAGACACTGAGCCGGGTGCTGGGGTGTCAGATAGAAGGAGCCCAGTCCCGGCCTTTGGGACGCTCACAGCTCACTGACACAAAGATGCACCCACACATCTCTGCAAACCCGTGCGACACGGTATCATTCGGGAGGGCCCCGAGACAAACCTCAGGTTCTATAATCTTATAGAAGGACTCCCAAAAAATCAGAAAAGCCATCATAAAAACCAGTCGAGGGCAGAGGCGCAGGGGCTGATGCGGGAGAGGTCTGCAGGGAGCCCCCAGCCTTCCTCCCCGGGGAGCCGTGCAGAGAGCACTTAGCTCTCCCAGCGGGGGCAAGTGACCATACACGTGCAGTACTGCCCAGCAGAGACGTCCCCCCAGCCTCGGGTGCAGAGTTTTACAGGAGCTCGGCTACGACCTCTGGCTACCTGCCCGCTGGCTGCCCGTGAGTCACAGTATTGGTACTGACTCTCTAGGTAGCCCTGTGAGCCAGGGGCCAGACATTTCCTTGGGCACAGGTGACACTTTACTGCACACACGTTGCTAATCTAATCAGAGAAATGTGACGAGAGCTGTGGCCCACACAATGGTATCACGGAAGCTAAGGACCTTTCCCTCTCTTCCCGAGGCCACAGGAGCCACAGAAGGGTTTTCAGCTGGGGAATGACCCACCAGACCTGGTACCACTCTGGTAACTGGTGAGAGCTGGACAGGGAGAAAGGGAGACTGTCAGAAGTTATGGGAAGTGACACCGTGGGTGGCCAGTGGACAGGTTGATGTGGGACGGGCAGACAGGGTCAGGCGTGTCCCAACTGGAAAAGCCAAGGAGCAGGGGTGGTGTGTCTGGCCAGCAGGTTTGTATCCCCAGAGTCTGGCACAGTGCCTGGGTGACAGAATATGCTGGATAAATGTTGGAGACATGCAGGAGTGAATGAATAAAGAACAAAGAGATGAGGGAGAAGGGGGGATCGAAAAGACTACCTTGTCATTATGGTGTCTGCCACCTTCCATGTCCTCTCCTCCCAACTTCCAGACACTCCTGGCCTGGACTCCATCTCAGACCCCTTCAGCTGGAGCTGGATCCCTGGCCTGGGTAGAGATCCGGATGCCTGGCTCCCTGGGGAGCTGACCACCAAGCCCCCAGCAAAGCTGACCCCCAGTGTTCCTGAGAAAACCACCACCAAAGCCCCAGGGAAAACCCCCAAGGGTACTAAGAAGTGGGTGACCAAAAATGCAAGGAGACTGACCACTCAGCCCCCCGTGATTCCAACCACTAAACACTCCAGGGTCCTGGGCACCCAGAGGCCCCCTGAACTGACCTCACGGACCACCACGACTCTGACCACTGAGGCCTCCCGAAGAACAGTTTCTGAGTCTACCGCCAGGTTGAGCACTGAAGTCCCCCACAGGATGACCTCACATACTACTGCAACACGGACTCCCCGGGCCCCCCGAGAACGGACTGCCAAGACCGTGGCAACACCGACCACTCAAAGCCCCCGAGAAATGACCTCTGAGGCCACAGTGGAGCGAATCCCTCTGGCCTCCATGGAGCCATCCGCTGAGACCCCAACACAAGGTTCTCCAGACTCTTCCAAAGACCCAGCCCCCTCCCCCACTGGGAGCACCGCTGGGGGATCAGGTGAGTGGGGGGAACAAGAAGAGGTGAGGCTGACCCCTGTTGACCCCTCCTGACTTGGGGTCTTCTACCAGCAGGCCCGTTCCGGGTGCGTCTGGCCGATGGGCCCAACCGGTGTGCTGGCCGGCTGGAAGTGTGGCATGCTGGGCGCTGGGGGACAGTGTGCGATGACAGCTGGGACCTGCGGGACAGTACCGTGGCCTGCTGGGAGCTGGGCTGCGGAAGGGTCCGGTCCCGAGTGGGCAAAACCCACTACGGCCCCGGGACCGGTCCCATCTGGCTGGATGACGTGGGCTGCAAGGGAATCGAGGCCTCCCTGAGTGACTGCCCTGCTGGGGCGTGGGGCCAGCACAACTGTGACCACGAGGAAGACGTGGGGCTCACCTGCACTGGTACTGGGAATGGGGTGGGGCACCCAGAGTCACTCTAGGAGGTTCTGGAAGGGTATCTGGAGCAGCAGCAAGGACCTGAGGCAGGGAGGGACTCAACCCATGTCCCACTTTCTCCCAAGGCCACGCCGATGAGGATGATTATCCCCCCTGGACGTGGGATCCCACCTCTGGAGAGGACCTGGCCAAGCTGACCACCACCGCAGGGGTACCTGGACACACGCTGTCCTGGGGCACCACCAAGAGCCCAGGGGCCCCGTCTCCGGCGACAAGGCGTCTTCCGGACACAGGTGAGGTGCACGACCAGGGTGCAGATGGAGCCGCCATCGACCTGTGTGCTCCTCCTGGCAAGGCTTCCCGAGAGACCCCGGAGGGAGCTGGCCTGGGTGTCGGAGATCGCGGATAGGTTCTCCGCGGCTCCAGAGGCCCAAAACGCTCCTTCCTTGGGCTCCTCTCGAGAGCCTTGAAGAGGAGACCCCCGTGTGTCTCTGAGAATCAGACCAGGCTCAGCACGGCCCGAGCCCACGGTCCTCCCGCAAACCAGCCGCCACACCTGAGGCTGGGGCCCTCCATCCAGAGCCCGGAGACCTCCCAGAGGGCTGAGGTCACCACGTCATCCCCCAGGCCCCTAGAGCTTGGCCCGTGCGGCCCGAGTGTCCTTCCACCCCTGCGGCCACACCCGGAGCCCGTGCGCCCCTACCCGCCTGCTGTCCCGGCGCCTGCTGCTCAGGCGGTTTCCCCGCAGCGTCTCCCAGGCCCCGTGGCCCTGCGCATGCGCATTGCTTCCCGGGGTTCCCCGTGTCCACGCATGTGTGCAGTGTTCTTCCAGGCTTTCCTGCGGCGCCTGTCTAGCCCCGCGTCCCTGCGCGTGCGCGCGTGCTCTCCCGGCTTCGCAGGCACTACGGGCCTTGCGTCCCTGCGCATGTGCGTGTGCATTTGTGCGCATGCGCATCCGCGGCCCTCGGTCCTCTCCCGCCCGGCCGGCTGGCTCTCTTCCACTAGCCCGCTCCGCGTCTCTGTCGCTCTGCTGTTCTCTCGGTCCGCTTGTCTGTCGCCGTCGCTCTCATGTGCTCGCATCCAGTGCACACTGCCCGCGTTCCTGTTCTGCCCCTGCCGACGCCTCTACCCTCCGTGTTCTCGCTCTCTCTGCCTCCGACCGTCCCCCGCGTGCCCTGCTGTTGTCTGCCTGCCCCCCGCCCGGCCACTCGCGCCCCCGGCCGCCCCTCTGTGCCCCGCGCGCGGACTCCACCTTCTGCTCACCAATGGCTCCTCCTGCCCCGGCCCCGCCTGTTTCACTCCACCCAGCCTTGTGCCCGCGCTTCACCCTCCCGCTGCTCTCTCCCTTCTCTGGGTGCTCTCCCACCCCCCGAAGGTCCCCCTTCTGCCTGTCGCCCCGCGCCCCTCTGCTTGTCTTTCCCTGAGGGACTCGTCGCCTCAGGAACGGGGCGCCCCGTCCCGCGGGCATTTTCCCGCCTTTTTCTGGCGCTCAGCACGCACGCGCGGCCCTCGGGGAATGGGCCCAATCAGCCTCACGGCTTGTGACGTCACAGGTGCGCTGCGCCTCCTGATTGGCCGGCTGACCCACGCCCGCGGTAATAAAAGCCGGGGGCGGGAGGCGCTTACTGCGCTTTCCGAGCGGTGACTTGTCTGCGAGGTTGGGCTGGTTGTGAGGAGGAAACGGAGGGGAGGGGCGGGCCGAGGGGCCGCCGCGCGTTAGGGCGGGGGAGGGAGTTGTGAGGACGGGCCGGTCCTGCCCGATGCCGGGCGGCCGGAGTCCTAGAGCCTTTGTTCTGTGCAACGGGACGCAGACCCCTGGCTATCCTCTAGCGCCCCCTCGTGGCAGAGACAGTCAGACGCGGGGCCCGGAGGTCCTACTGGGGTGCGGGGCGGGTGGGGGTAGGCGGTGACGTGAGCTCGGAGCGGCGTCGCGAGCCGCGCCTGGGAAAAGTCGGGGTAGTCCCAGGTCCAGTGATAAGGAGGCCAGATGGCGAGTGGGAGGAGGGACAGACGCGCCTTCCTCCCCTCACTGCGAGGTGACCCTGCGAACGAGGGACCCCGCCTCTCTGAGCCTGCTTCTTCCTGTGGGAAAACAGCCCCGCACAGCCCCCTCGGTGCGGGGTGCGCGCGATTCCGGCGCGCGGGAGACCTGGGCCCTGCGGCGAACGCCCGGGCTGCGGCGGGGGCAAATCTGCCTCGGCGGAAACTCAGGAGCCGCTGCTAAGGCCCGTCTTCGTGATTCCACACACGTTTCGCTCTTCGGACTGGGAGAGATGACGGAGTTCCTGAGCTAACGATCAGCGACTTGCTCAGTCCAGCTCGCGGGGTGCTCCGGGGTTAGGACTGCGCGCGACCTCGGGTCCCAATCCCAAGAACAAAACGTGTGTGAAACCGTTTAAAACCTCGGAACGCTGGTGGCGAGGCTGGTTTAGCGTGAATGAACGGCCGCTGCAGGATCCCAGGGAAGCCGTTGTTTCTTGTAGGGCGATCCCGAAGGGCCTCGCCGAGGACATGGTATTACCCAACAGCAGACACCAGGAGGAAGGGAGTTCTCCGGGGGCAGAGGCCGGGGTTAAAGGGCGTCGCCCGCCGGACACTGCCCTCTCCCTGGACCCTTGGCTCCATCCCGCCTTTACCGGGACGTAACCGCCCCGTACTGCCTTGCAGCAGCGCAGGCTCACTGCAGTCCCCTGGGTCAGAAGTCCAGCAGGGATGCGTTCCTTCCTGAGGCTCTAGGACAAAATCTGTTCTCTACCTTTTCCAGCTTCTAGAGGCCCCCACATTCCTGGCTCGTGGCCCCTTCCTCCATGTTCAGAGCCGGCAATGCTGCACCTCTCTGAGCTTCCTTCTGTCTTCACGTCTTCCTCTGTCCTAAATTTTAAGGATTTGTGTGATTGGACTGGGCCTACTTGGATTGATGCAGGATAATCTCTTCCTCTCAAGGTCTGCACCTTTAATCACAACTACAATATCCCTTTGCCACATAAGGTAACCTATTCAGAGGTCCTGGGGACTAGGGTACAGGCGTCTTTGGGGGAGCATGGTTCCCCCACCGGTCTACCACCAAATCCGTGCTGTAGAGACTCCGTGGAGACTTACACGTTTGTTGAATGAACGTAACAGCCGAAGCTAGAAGCTTAAAAGGTTGAATTTCACTTTCTAGTTCATTGAAGCAGTATTTCTCGAGGCTTCTCAGAATTTGGAGACACAGACATTTACACGCCTGTCACCTGCTGTGCGGCAGGCATGAATACTAACCCCTGAGAACACAGCGGTGATGAGCAAGGGAAAGGGAGGCTGAGATTTGCAATTTAGAATAGGATGGCCAAGAAAAAAGTGCCCTTTAAGCGTGACCTTTAGGAGGTGAGGGAGAAAGCCATGCAGGTATCTGGCTGGAGAATGTTTTATACAGAGGGAGCACTGCATGCAAGGGCTCTGAGGCAGAATCGTGCTTAGCTGGTTGAAGAAACGGCCTCAAGGTCAGCGGGCTGAAATGGAGTGGTCGATGGGAATGACGGCAGGAGATGAGATCTGCAGTGGGGAGCCCTGAGGGAGCTAAAGGTGCATTCCAGACGGAGGGAGCAGCGCATGCAAAGGCCTTCTGGTGAGACCTTGAGAGAATGGCAAGGATGCTAGCATGACCGAAACACAGTAAGCCAGGCAGGGTGAGAGTGATAGGAGCGGGCTAGACTCTGACTTTTATTCTCTATGCAGTGAGAAGCCCTTGGTGGGGCATCTTGAGCTAGGAAGGACGCAGTCATGCATGCATTGTCAAAGCAGTCACTCAGGATGCCGCATGGGAAATGGATGGAGGAGCCAGGGTGCATACAGGGAGACTGAGAGGTCTCTGGAAAGGTGACAGTGGTCTCCGCCAGGGTAGCAGTGGAGACTCAGAAGTGGATTGTGTAAGCTATATTCTGGGAGTCGAGCTGATGGATTCTAGTGAGGGGTTGGGTGGGGTGTGAGAAGAGGGAGGTGGGAGATGGAGACCCACCTTTTACTGGATCAGGGAACACTGCAGCTGGATCCGCAGTGGGAATATTAGATCTATTGGTGATGTGTTTGACACACCCAGGTGCAGACATTAGATACACCATCCTGGAGCTCTGCGGGGTGCCTGGGCTGAAGATATACACTGACAGAATGGAATGTGAGGCTGTGGGAACGGATGAGGCTGTGCAGACAGCTAGCCGTGTCTCATGGGCCTCCCATACCCAGCTTGGAAGGTGGGATGACTCATGGATTTGGGCTGTTGCTGTATGTTACGGCTGCATGAGGTCATGCAGAGGGGAGAGGATCCAAGAGTAAATGCAAGATTAAATTCAGAGGTTGGGTGATAATATTAACAATCATAGCTAGTTTTCACTGAATGTGCCCCGTGTGTCAGGAGCCATTTACCAGCGTCACATGGTTTAACTCACTTCCTCCCCCAAGGAAACTTATGAGATCAGTACAACGCTTAACACCATTCTACAGATAAGGAAACAGGTACAAAGAGGGCCAGTACAGCAAACAGCAGAGCTTGGATTCTAACTCCAGGATTTACACTCTTAACTACGCTTGTCATGAACACAGGGAAGGAGCATATGACAGAATTAGCTCTGAAGAACCCAGGAAGCATTATGCAGGCGTGACTTCGTTGAGGGGGGAAGGGGCGTGGCCTTTGAATAAAATCTTGAAGGATGAATGAAAGCTCACCAGGGGAGGAGTGGGGTAAGGCTCAGTAGATTTGCACCTCAAGGGAAAGAGGTCTCCATTAAGGACCAGGTAGACCATTGTGGGTCTGAAGCCTAACACTGCTCTTTGGCTGTGTGACTTTGGGAAAGTTCCTTGCCTTCTCTGGGCTTTAGTTCGGTCATCTGTAGCAAAACAGCAGCTTCCCCAGCCACCCTCTCCCCGTGAGATTGCCAAAAATTAAAATGTCTGACAGCACAAAGGTTGTGGGGTAAAGGTGGGCATGCGACTCTGCGCCTCATTAGGAGGGCAGTTTAACAAGGTCTAGGGAGACACCTCTGCCTTCCACACCGCAGTTATACAATTAGGTGTTGAGGAGTTCTCACTCCTGAGCCCAAGGTCACAGATCTAAGGAATTCACTGCAGCCGTATTTGTAACAGCAAAACATTAGCCACAGCCTACCTGCCTGTCAACAGGGCACGGACGAATCAACAGTTGTGTGTTGGTACGACAGAATATTAAATGAAGGTTAAAAAGAAGGAGCTGGAGAGAGATGAATTGAATTCAAAGAATAATCTTATCACGTGCCAGGCTTTGCGACCCCATGGAGTAGACCATCATGGTACCCATTTTACAGGTGAGGAAACTGAGTCATGGAGCAGTTCAGTGACTTGCTCACCCAGCTAGGAAGGGACACGCCCACATCCAAGCTATAAAACTACGCATGCAGTGTTACGTAGATGGGCAAGTCTTCAACTTAGGAAGCTAAAACATGGAGAAAAATATGGCCTCAGAGAGTCCTTTGGGGGAAGGGAGGTGATTGGGCCTCACAAGGGCTGTAACTGTGCAATGCCGCTGCTTACGTTTAAAATGCACGTTTTAATGAAAAAAATCAAATTGATCCCACACTAACGGCCAGTGGATGGGTGGCCATATTTTTTTTTTTAAGATTTTATTTACTTGACAGACAGAGATCACAAGTAGGCAGAGAGGCAGACAGAGAGAGAGAGGAGGAAGCAGGCTCCCTGCTGAGCAGAGAGCCCGATACGGGGCTTGATCCCAGGACCCTGGGATCATGACCTGAGCTGAAGGCAGAGGCTTAACCCACTGAGCCACCCAGGCGCCCCACGGGTGGCCATATCTTAGAGCACAGTTCAAGAACACAGAGACCCAAGGAGTATGCCTGCAGTTGGTGGACTGACATTGTAACGGGGCTCAATTTGTGTTCTCAGTGGAGTTCTCCTAAAACCCAGCATCTTGAAAAGACGTCTTCACCGCTAATGGTTTTTTTTTTTCCCTAAGCTTGTTTCCATTTTTAATTTTTTAATAGTAAGGCTAATGGTTCTTAAAATTCCTAATGAGTATGACCGTCAGGTAGGATTTCATAGTTTCCCTCTTAAGGCACTTGACAGGCATGGGGAGGGTATTTAATTAAGAACGGTTAATAATAGGGAGATGGGACGGAGGTATTGGCAATGCCAGGCATCGAGGTGAAAATTGACCCATGTTCTATTCGCGTAATATATTAGCAGGTGACAGAGCCAGGGAATTCCGCAACTGGGACAGCCAGCCGCAGAGCTCAAAGTGACCAGGACAAACGTGCCTAGTGTGTCAGACACCATCCTCCTGCTGGTTTCACGTGCAGAGTGGGAAAATGTCTATGGTGGAGAAGGGAATTCCAGGTGGAGGCAATCCCACGGGCAAAAGCTCAGAGGTGCACCGAGGCTAGATGGGAACACCTCAAGGTGTGGGGTCCGGTGTGAGCAGCAAGCCCGTGGGGGAAGGCGGCGCTGTGAGGGGGTGTCAGAGAGGTGGGCAGGGGGCAGTTAGTGAAGGGAGGTGAGGAACATGGAGTTTCTGGTTGCCCAACATTGTGAATACACTCAAACCCACCGAACTGTACACATTAAGGTATGGGAATTATATCTCAACAAAGCTATTGTGTTTTTTAATGATTTTTTACTTACCTGACAGAGAGAGAGAAAGCATGCACATTTGCACACAAGTGCAGGGGAAGGGCAGAGGGGGAAGGGGAGAACCTCTAGGAGACTCACTGGGCGCGGAGCCCCACGTGGGACTGGCTCTTCCAACCCTGAGATCGCAATGTGAGTTGAAATTAAGATTCAGACACTTAACTGACCGAGCCACCCAGGCGCCCAAAAAAGCTATTGTTAAAGTACGTTTTTTGATCCACCAAGCCAGAAGACTGAATTCAGTCTTTCAATTCTCTCTATATAAAATGGTGTATTTTACGTTATATTTTATATCATACATATAAAATGGTTAATTTTTATATTACACAGCTGACCATTGAACAACACGGGGGTTAGGGGCACTGACCCCCATGCGGTCAAAAATCTACATATAGATGAGAGAGTTTGACTCCCTCAGAACTTTACTGATAGCCTACTGTTGACGGGAAACGTTACTGATAACATAAACAATTAACACATATTTTGTATGTTATGTATATTATACAGTACATTTTTAAAAATTTTTATTTATTTATTTGACAAATACAGATCACAAGTAGGCAGAGAGGCAGACGGGGGCGGGGGAGCAGGCTCCCCGCTGAGCAGAGAGCCCGATGCAGGGCTCCATCCCAGGACCCTGGGATCATGACCTGAGCCGAAGCAGAGGCTTTAACACACTGAGCCACCCAGGCGCCCCAGTATCCACTGTATTTTTATAATAAAGTAAGCTAGAGAAAAAAGTTACTAAAATATAAGTACAGTATAGTATTGTACTGTATTTGTGGGAAAAATCCACATACAGGTGGTTCTGCATAATCTGTAGAGTTCGAGGGTCACTGGATATTATACATTTATATGTATTGTCATATATATGTCATATGTATTGTCATAAAATTGTCATGTAGAGATTATCCAAGTGTATTCATCCAAAATACATAGGGAAAATGCTACAGAAATGTTCCTGGTTGTTCATTAATAAAGATATTATAGGTGTCCTCCTCCCCCCAAGGGAAAAATAAAGAATGAGTAGGGGCAGGGACATTGAAATAAGAACTGTTCTTATTTTATAAGCTGGTTTAGTCCCAGTTTCTGTTCTTAGTAGTTCAGAGCATCTTGGCTGAGTCACCGGGGTGGCTGTGAGGTCAGGGAGGAGATTGGGGGGTGCAGGTGAGACAGGATGAGACCTGAGTTGGGGTCCAGGAGGAGCAGAGGGTCATAATAAAGGGAAACGAGACTCAGTTCTCCCTATATCTCTCAAGGTGATGAGGATAGTTACGAGCCTTCCTGGACGTGGGATACACCTTCCGGAGGGGCTCTGCCAGAGGGGACACCCACTGCAGGCAGACCTGGATCCACTCTTACCACTGCTACCACCCGGAGTCCAGGCCGTCCCTCTCCAGCTCCAAGGATCCGTGGAGACACAGGTGAGGCATGCAGCTGTGGCATCCGGGTTGTTTGTGTTGTGGGTAGAGAGATGGACTCCGAATTCCCCAGTGGTGACCCCACTCTCACCCCAGAGATCCAGCAGAAATATATCCTGATACAAGGGGTTATTATCTATGTCTGTGGCCCTCAACTGGGAGTAACTAGCAATATCTGAAGATGTTTGGGATTGTCATGACTAAGAGTAGGGAGGCTACTAGAGCCTAATGGGTCAAGGCCACGGGTGTTGTTACATATCCTACTCTGTACAGAGCAGTCCCCCACAACAAAGAATCATCCAGCTCCAAACATCAACGATGCCCAGGTAGGGAAACTATAACCTATGCTATGCAATTCACTCTGACAAATCAATGAAGAAATGACAGGAAGCCCTACAAGAGAATGGGTAACAGTTATGACCAGGCAATTCACAGAAGAGAAAGCCCAAATGGCCAACAAGTATATGTAGAAACATTCACACTCATAAAGAATTAGGAAGATTAAAGTTAAAGTGATGACAAGCATGGAGAAAATTTGGAAGGTAGGTGATATCAAGTGTGGGTGAGGATGTGGGAAAACGGACATCCCCACTGGATATAGGTATCTGATAAAGATAGTGAAATTAGGTATGATTGTACATTGTGACCCAGCAATCCTCTTCCTGTATTCCAGAGAAATTCTTTTTTTTTAAAGACTTTATTTATTTATTTGAGAGAGAGAGAGAGCATGAGAGAGGTCAGCTGGAGAAGCAGACTCCGTGCCGAGCAGGGAGCCCGATGTGGGACTCGATCTGGGACTCCAGGATCATGACCTGAGCCAAAGGCAGTCGCTTAACCAACTGAGCCACCCAGGTGCCGCATGTATTCCAGAGAAATTCTTCAGTAGGCTTCTACGGGCAAGCTGTATGAGGGTTTTCTTTGGAACACTGTGATATCAAGGAGTTGGGGGCCGGTTATGTGTCCAGCAGTGGGTAACGAGAAATGCAGTGGGTGCGTGTGGTGAAGTCCCACGCAGGAGCTAAAGCGAGTCGAGCTGCACACACAGGAGCACGGGGCAGTGTGAGCAACTGAAGATGGAGAAAGAGCAGCGTGAAATTTCCAGCGATTTGCAAAAGCTAAAAAGCACAAACACAAAAATACACGTACACTTAATACATTAACGTATATACATATATGCCTTTTATATTTTGTAAGGTATTGTGTAAGGACCTATCTTTAAGGACATGTGTCAAATACACTAATGGAGCTAGCTGTGGGGGAAAGTGAGAGGGATGGAGAGCGGGGAAGGAAAAGGAGAAAAAAGAAGAGTCTTTGCCGGGCTGTTGATGACAACGTACAGAAGAGTATTATTAGTTTGGCTTTCTGAACCTTGGGTCTGAAAAATTAAAAATACCACTCTAGACATCTGGACCCCTACAATATTTAAGCAAGCTGTGATTCTTGAAATAATAACTAAATCAGTTAATGGTTACTGAACAGTATACCCAGGTGTTGGGACTGTTCTAAGAACTTTATATATATTACCCCTTTAGCTCTCAGGCATCTGTAGGAGCCCTATGATGTAGGTGCTATTATTACACCCATTTCACAGATGAGAGAAACTGAGGATGGACATCAGTGAGTGTGACAGTATTAGTCACAAGAGTGCCTGCTACCTGCAAGGCACTGTCCTAAGTCTCTGCGCCCACAGGAGCCCCTTGCACCAGCACAGTTCTATAAGGGAGGTCCGTTGATCATCCACAAACTGAGGTTCAAGGCAGTTAAATAACTTGTCCATGGTCACCCAGTTAGGAAGCGACAGATCTGGGGTTTAAGCACAGGCAGCATGGCTGGAGGCCAACTCCCTCACTGAGCCACTTCTCTGATGCGGCAAACCAGCGGCAGCAACAGGAGGCATGTCCAAAATCCTGCAGGAAACCTGGAATTCTCTAGAGCTGTATTGTTCAATATGCTAGCTATCAACACTGGTGGCTTTTTACTTTAAATGAATTAAAAATGTGAAAAAGGAGGGCAGTCCCTTTGGGTCCCCTCCCTCCTTGGGAGCTTTGTGTATTCACTTCGCTATCATTCAATAAACCTTGCTTTGCTGCCCACCAAAAATATTTTTTTAAAGATTTTATTTAGTTATTCGACAGAGAGATCACAAGTAGGCAGAGAGGCAGGCAGAGAGAGAGGAGGAAGCAGGCTCCCCGCTGAGCAGAGAGCCTGATGCGGGGCTTGATCCCAGGACCCTGAGATCATGACCTGAGCTGAAGACCGAGGCTTTAACCCACTGAGCTACCCAGACGCCCCCCCAAAATAATTTTTTTTGAAAAAGGAAACCCTAACCCTTAGTTGCACTAGCCACACTTGAGATTAGGGTTGGCCACATGTTATCATACCTGTCACTGGGAAAGTGATATTTAACGACCCAGACTCTGAATGCAAAGGACTTTGCTTCAAATCTTGTCCCCACAATTTGCAAACTGTATCTGTGCGACCCATGGCAAGTTACCTACCCTCTTGGCCTGACTCCCCTCATCTGCAAAAAGGGATAAAATTCTCATTTACCTGGAAGCTGAGCCAAGAAAGGGATGAGGCTTCTCATTCTACTCAGGCCCTAAACGTAAGGTGCCACCAAAACACGCGGTTACCGAGGTAAATATCTTTATAGTTTTAAAAATCGAAATTAATGTAAAACATTCGCAATGAACTGAACATCAAAAATTCAACTAAAGGCAGGATCCCATCTACCTCACTTGACTTTCCCTAATCCTGGCCCAGTCAGATCCTGTTGGGCTAAAATTTGGACTCTTTTGTTCATAGTGGGTCTTTTGCAGTAATTTTGTTTAAAAAGTGACATAAAAATCTTGACCACTGAGATTACGCTCAGAAGCCTCTTGCATCCCCCCTCACGCTTCTGCACCTTCCGGCATCTCCCCCATTCCTTCCCCATTTGCTCCCTCGTCCCCCGCCCCTCCCGCCTCCCCAGGTAAGCCGCCACAATCCCCACACTCCCGCGTTTTCCTTCCTGCTTCCGCAAGCCCCTCCGGCCGCCCGTCCCTGCCCCCCACGTTTCCGCTCCCTCCCACCTTCCACGGTACCCCTCCCCTCCCTCGAGCCCCTCGCCTGCACTGCAGGACGCCAGGTGGCGTCTGGAGACGTCACAGGTGGCGGGGAGGTGGGGCGCTGGGGCGGGGCGAAGTCTGCTGGGGAACCGTGACGTTGCAAGGTCTGCGCCCTCCCGTTGGTCGGCTCCTCCCTAGAGGGGCAGGGCAGGCCAAGGGGGTGGGCGGGGCAAGCTGACCTCGACCATCTGTCTTTCCTCCTCCTCCAGGTTCCCTGAGGAAACCGTGGCTGGAGCGTCGGCTGCAGCGCCCCACAGCGGCCAGGACAGCGCCCCCTGCCGCTTCCCCAGCTCCGTCAGCCTCGCCAGAGCCCCCTGGCCCACCGGTGACCCCCGACTCTGCGCCAGGGCTCATTCCTGAGGCAGCTTCAAGGCGAGGGGTGACCTCTGACCCTCCTGACACTTCTTCGCCGCCCAGCCCAGACCTAGCCTCGCAGATGAACTCGGACCTCCCTCTGACAACCCCTGGCCTCACTCTGTCCACCCCTGAGGGCGCTGTGACTCCAGCGCTGACACCTGATCTCTCACCCACCCCACCACCCACCTTGCCCAAAGAACTGACCTCTGACCCCTCTGCACCGGCAGTGGTGACCCATCTTTCTTCTACCTCAGAGTTGACTCCAGAATCTGACACAACCCCAAACTTGGGCACAGCTCCATATGCCAACACATTTCCAGATCATTCCAAATCCCCAGACTCCTCCACAAACCCCCACCCTACTAGCACCCCTCACTCCACTTTGACCTCTCAACCCACGACCACCCCTCATTCCGCCACAACCCCACTACTCACCATGACCCCACAACCCACCACACCCCCTCAACCCACCATATCCCTTCAACCCAACACATCTGTTCAACCCACCACAACCCCGCAGGCCACCACAACCCTTTACCTCACCGCAACCCCTCATCCCACCACGACCCCTCAGTCCACTGCCGCTCCACCCACCACAACCCCTCACCCTATCACAACCCCTTACCCTGCCACAACCCCTCACCCCACCATGACCCTTCATTCTACCACCTCCACTCACCCCAGCATGACGGCTGACCCTACCTCAACCCCTATGATCACTACCAAGTCCATTCTAACTTCCTCGGGAACAGAACTGTTCTCTCCCACTCTAGCACCAACAGTCAAGTCTAGCCTACACCCCTGGTTGACCTCCACGGGGTCTTCTCATCTCTCTACATCCAAGATGGCCAGCCTAGTGCCTTTTCCAACCTCGGAGTCCAGCCACTCCAGGCCTTCTCCAGCTCCAAGCGTGGACACTCTGTCCACTGAGGACTTCGAACCACCAAGAAGCCAGAGCCCCAAACCAAGCCCACCACCCACACAGACCCCACACTCAGCCTCTGACCCCACAGTGACCTCTGACCTCCACCTGTCTTCCATGGCCCACCCCTTGGGTCAACCTTTCCCTGACCATCTCACCCCAAGGCCAACCCCTGGTCAGAGCCCAGACCCCCTTGGCCCATGTGTGGCTCCAACACCACCTGTAAGGGTCATGGCTTGTGAGCCGCCTGCCCTGGTAGAGCTGGTGGCTGCTGTGAGGGACGTGGGTGGCCAGCTGCAGAGGCTGACCCAGGTCCTGGAGCAGGAGCAGCAGGAGCGCCAAGCCCTGGGACTGGGGCTGACCCAGCTGGTGGAGGCCACCCAGAACCTAGGGCAACTGGGTGAGGTTGTAAAAAGACTGGCTGAGGGGGCCTGGCCCCCCAGCACCTCTGCACCAGCTACCACCACCCCAGAGGAGGAAGAAAGGCCTCTGAGGGGAGATGTATGACCCCTATATGGGATTTGAAGGGCTAAGACACACCCAACCAAGAAATGAAAACCATAGTATCTAATTAAAAACAAGGTATCGGTGACATTTGTGGGGATCTAGGAGAACTCCAGAGGGAGGGAATCCCAAGATTGGTCTTGAATTGTGAATCCCACAGGCACCATGCAAGGCAAGGATGTTTATGGTGATGGTGTTAGTGATAATGGGTGATGACCGTGATGGTCAAGGTGATTACGGTAGTGAGAAGGAGGACGGTGAGCCTAATAATGGCCGTGATGACCATGGCGATGATGGCGATGGAAGTGATGTTGGCCATGACCACGGTGGGGGTGATGGTGGAGGTGATCAGGGCGTGATTGCGATGATCGTAGTGATGATGATCATGATGGAGATGGGGGTGGTGACGATGGTGCCACCATTGGTACTGGCAAAGCCCCATGATGGCAAAGATCCTTGTCTTGTTCACAGATGTATGCCCAGCTCTTAGAACAGAGCCTGACGCAGAGTGCACACACCTTAAAAATCTCGAATGCATGAGTACATGATAATAATAATAATGACTAATATTTGTTGAGTGCCTCTTCTGGATCAGGCTCTGTTTTGAGGGCTTTCTGTGCATAACGTCACTTTATCTTCACAAACACCTGCTAAGGAGGGTACTGTTACCACAGCTCAGCAGAGAAGGGGTGAGCTTTGGAGCCCGAAGGCCTGAGTTTGCCTGTGGGCATGAACCTGAGCCAGTTACCTAACTTCTTGGTCTGAGTTCTTCCAGCCACGTAAGTGGGGTAGTAAGTGCACACCTCACGGGTGGTTGTGCTGATTCGCTAAGTCAATGCGTATGTTAGAGCGCTTAACCCCAGGGGCCGGCTCTAGATAAGCACTCGTGCTGTGCCAGCTGTTGTCTTTGTCCCCTTTTTTACAGATCAGGGCACTGAGGTCCCAGGTCTCTTAGGGACGATGTGGTGGAGCCGTGATTGGTAGCCAGGCCTGTCTGACCAGGCCCTTGCTCCTAAGTCAGATTAGCCTGGACTCGAAACCACGTCCAGGCAAGTGGGACTCTGGGGGCTCGTTTCCTTTCTCTGAACCTCGGTCTCGTCACTGGTACACGAGGATAGTAACAGCATCTGCCTCTGGGGAGGTGGTGGTGGGGAGGATTAGACGAGGTAGCCTGGGCAAGGACGGAGCTTGGTGTGTTATGTGCTCAGTTAACAAGAATGATTGTGTCCCTTCCTGACTGCACTTCTCTGCGTCTGACCCAGTGTGTCCTCTTAACACACTACATCCCATCCTCACCCCAGCCCTTTGAGGGAGGACCTTGATTCCCACTTCAGAAAGGACACCGAAGCTCAGAGAGGGCAAGCGTCTTGCCTAAGGCCACACAGCAAAGTGGGAACTCAAACCCAGAAAAATGCGATGCAGATTACCATGGTTTGACCTTGGCCTGGGGTTCCAGGTTAGGACTCCTATGACAGCCCCTCTTTGAGTGACCTTGGGTGGGCTCCTTCACCTCTCTGGGTCTCCACTTGTAAACTGGGGGCCACCTTGAAACACTGAAGGAGGCTCCAATTCTGGTTTCTGTAGCCTCGGACAGGAGACCGTTCCCTCCTCCTCCTCTCCCCAGTGTGGAGCCTGGCTCAGAGGTCCTGGAAGGTCATGGAGCTGGCGCCCCCGCAGTCCGGCAAAGGCCAGCAGGGTCCAGTTACGTGTTGGGGGCAGGGAGGGATAATGTCTGGGGGTCCTGATAGATGGACTGTCTGCCCCCGCCAACAGGCAAAGAAGCACGCAGAGAATTCTGTTCCCCGGGTCTCATTAAGCCCCAGACTTAAATAACTGCTGACTAGTAAACAGGGAGGGCTGAGGGGGCCCCTGCCTGCCTGCCCCTTGCCCTCCTGGGCAGTCAGGGGCTCGGAGGACAGCACACCGACCTGGAGGCAAAGGGTCTGCTTCCCCATTTGAAGTTGGGAGCAGGCGCACCCCAACTCTGGGTCCCCCCTGAGGGCCCCACTAGGTGTTTAGGCTCTAGGCCCCCATCTGTGAGCCGGATTTGGGAGGGGTAGGGCGGCTGTTGGGCACTCCGGCCCCAGGTCCCTCCACCCTCTGCAGCCTCTGCCAGCCCCGAAGAAGCGGGCGCTTAATTATCTGGTCACTCTATCCCCGCTTGGCCAGGCGGCTAAGCCCAAACATCTGGCCCCGGGGCCCAGGGCCAGGGTGGGTGGCCAGCCCCCACCTACTGCCGGCCCTGACCTGGACACCTCCCACGGGACAGCTGAGCCCTGTCCTGGGCCTGCCAGCTTGCGACAAGCCCAGAACAGTAGCTGCAGAATCCTAGCGGGCGCGACCTTCGCAGAGAAACACCTTTGACGAAATTCAGCACCCGTTCATGGTGGACACACAACACACACGCACACACACACTCTTAGCAGAATCGGAGCAGAGGGCGCTTCCTTAATCCCAGGAAGCGTGGAGACACAGATCTGTCCTTTCCCGGCGGGCAATCTGTCCCTGTAGAAAAGCCCGGGCATCCAGCGCACAAATGGTTAGTGTTAATGAGAGATCAGTGAGGACGCAAGATCAGCACTCTAACATTGTGTCCCTTGCACCGGCAAGTGTGGCCCGTGCCCTGGGAACATGGGCCTCAGCAGCACCACCTCAGACTCTCCGGATCAGATCAGAATCCGCGGTTTAGCAAGGCGGCAGGTCATTGTGGCTGGCGGCTGGAGGTCTGAGAAGCGCCGCTCAAGCTATTGGCATTATCTGTGCCCCAGCACCGACCTGCAGGGACTCCCGCCCCAGAGCTTGTTCACAGAGGCCTGCCGGGCTGGCCCCTTCCGGCCCCGGGGTTGGCCCCCTCCAAGCAGCGCGCAGGTGGGGTGCCAGTGGGCTGGGTTCGCGCTCTGCTGATGCTCTTCGTGATTTTTGATCCCAAGTTTTCTAAGTGAAGTTGATGGGGCAGGAACACGGGCTCATGCAAAGGCACTTCCCTGATGGGGTCTGGTCACAGGACCCCATCCCCAGCGGTAGCTCCACGCCCCAGGCCCAGGGGAGGGCACAGCATCACTAGCAAATGACAGAGAGGGAGAGGGGAAGGAAAAACTGCTTTTTGAACCAAGAAGCCCCACATTTTCACTTTACGCTGGACATCCGCACGTCCTGCTTACAAGCTTGAGGTCTCAGCTGGGGGGCGGGCAGAGCGTCCGTGGCGACCACCCGTTGGGTACACTTTAGAGGTGCTGGGCTGGGGTGGAGAGCTGGGTCTGAATTCAGGCTCTTCCATCCTTAGACTTGCTGGTCATTGGAAAGTAGGTTCCTCCCCGCTGGGGCCTCAGTGGTCTTTTCTGTAAGACAGAGTGGGGAGCAGGGAGTAGGTTCTGTGTTTAAGGCCTTGGTTTGTGATTGACTCAGAGCTATGAGAAGGAGAGCAGCGTTTTCTCTTTTCTCTTTGATGGGAATTCAGAGGCCTGGAGAAGGAAAGGAACTGATTAAGGCATGAGAACCTTGCAAATGCTTCTTTTGTGGTTTTTTAGCCTCATTGAGATGAAATCTGCATGCCATGAAATTTACCCTTTTCCCATGTACAATTCGGTGGTTTTTAATATATTCAGAGCTGTGCAGCACTCACCACAATCTAATTTTAGAACAAGTCCACCACCACGCCCCCCCAAAGAAGAAAAGCTGTGCCCCTTACCCGTCCTTCCCTGTCTCCCCCCAACAGCCCCACCCCCGCATCTGCCTGTTCTGGGCATTTTCAGAATGGAGTCCTGCAGTGGCTCATCTGGCACTGCTGACCCCTCTCTTCTCACGGCGTTGGTGAGGTCCACCCGTGGGTTGGGGCTTCGTTCCTTCCCATGGCGGGGTACTAGTCCAGAGTCTGGATGGACCACCTTGTGTTTGCTCAGCTGTGGACAGACATTTGGGTTGTCTCCGTGGTTTGGCTTTTGTGAGTAGCGTACTAGAATATCTGTGTGGATGCACGCTTTCTGTTGCTCGTGGGACGAACCTCAGAGCGGAATTGCCGGGCCACGTGGTGGTTCTGTGTCTGATGAGCTGACAAAGGCCGGCCTGTCTCCCACGATGGCTGCACCGTTTTTACACTCCCTCCACACTGCACCAGGGTTCTAGCGTCTCCACGTCCTCACTAGCACAGGGCAGTGGGTCTGGAAGCCTCTGAGCCCACCTCTTCTATCCCCATGGTTTACCTGCCCCAACGCCCGTGTCCTCCCAGGGAGGGACGGCCGCCTCACAACGCCCCACGCACACTCGCCTTGCACATTCAGACGTACACAATACCGTCGCGCAGCCCGCCACAGGCCCCCCAGCCCTCTGTGTGGGACCCCTTTGGCCACTGATCGCAGTGGAACACCCTGAAGTTGAAGACCATGGTCCCTGGGCAGGACCCAGTCTGGGTGCAGCTCCGGGCTCTGCTCCTGCCCCTGACCCAGGTGGGAGCTCAGGTGTTACCTTGGCCACCCATGCACCCTGACCCGTGAACTGAGGAGGGTCCTAGCAGGTGAGCCCACGTTTCTGCCAGGGGGGCAGCCGGAGGAGCGAGGAGCATGCTGCTTTGTCAGTGTTAAGTATTATGATTAGTATTAAGTCTTACTTGATTAAGTAACTAATACTTAATTAGCACTGCCACGGGTCCCTTAGGCCTTCTGGGAATTTTCGTCCTCCCGCCCTGCCCTGGGGCCCCCCACTGGGTCATTATCACCTCCCAGTTAATCCTCAGCTGCTGCCTCCAATTAACACCCTCTGCTGCCTCCCCTGCCCCTGCCTCCCCTGCCCAGCTGCACCCCCTCTTCCCAGCTCCACCCTGCCCCAGCCGCCTCCAGCTTTTTTGGGACACATTCTTGGCCTGATGGTTCGGGCTACTTCACATTCATGGATAAGATGGCAGAAGGTCCTGATCCTGCTCCCCGCTCCCCCCCACTATATACCTCCCTGTCTTGTTCTTTCCAGTGTCCCCTACTCCAGGAAGCCCACCTGGATTGCCCAGGACAGGGGCCGGTGTCCCTAGTCCTCTCCAGGAAGCCCACCTGGATTGCCCAGGACAGGGGCCGGTGTCCCTAGTCCTCTC